CAACCCCTAACATTCTGTGATTCTGTAATAGTCAACATGTTACAAAAAGATTAAAACAAAGATGTAAAAATCAATACAAGCAGCAAAATACAAAGTCTATGCATAAACTGACAGGAATTGAGAAAATACTTCTACAGGCATGTAACTCCACAAGACACACACTTCAGGGGTTCCCTGCATTACCTTCTGAAGCTGCTTATCTCCTAATAAACAACCAAGACACTCACACTAAGCTAAACTGTTTCTGAAATGATTCCATGAGTCTTAATCAAAAATTGCAAACAAAAAAAAAAGGCAAACATCGACATTCCCTACTTAAAGAATGAAATATGAGGATAAGCTCATTTCAATCTATTCCTCAGAATCAGATCTGAGCAGTACAAGCAATCAAAATATCTTATTTGGGTCTGTACGTTATACAAATAAGACTGAGTTAAGGGGACTTAACTCCCACATACTGCATGCATTGCTTGAATTCTCAACATGGATCCTTAGTTTCTCAGGTAAAGCTCTCCAGCTACATATAGGTGTTCAATATTTCAAACACACAAGAAAAGATACTGCCACTGTCAGTCAAATACCCCAACTTCTGTAAGGTGATCGATGTTGAAGACCATTAGAAGACAGGAATCAGTGCAAAAATCTAACCACATGGTAGTGCATCCCCCGTGCTCAGTCCTTTATTCACCAGAAGACAGAAAAAAGACCCCGAAGTATTTGTTGTCCCTTTGCATTTTCCTAGATCTTCCTAAATTAAAAAACAAAACAAAAGAGAACACAACCACAAACCAAAACCCACTGAAATTGTTATGAATAAGTTTTTCCCTTTGTTAAAAGGCAGATTTCTTTTAAGTAGAGCTTGAGTTTATCTTTCCTGTGTTAAGAACACATTTTTGTTAAATAGTGCTTGAGTTTATTTTATAGTTACAGTGTTCTGCAGGTACATTTTTTTTTTTTCCACGTTTTTAAGACTGATAACTCTGCCTCCAGAGAAGAGATCCACTTGTTAAAGAAAAATGAAGCACTAAAGTAATGGAGTAAACTCATTTTATTTTCAGAATTTTCTGTGTGGAAGATGACTCTCGACAATGTTAAATTTTATTACAGAGGAAAATATGAACTTAAAAAAGGATAGTTTCAACACATAATAAAAAATACTTACTCTGTAAATAGTGCAAAACCATCAACATAAGACTATAGCTGTTTAAAGTACCACGACTGGCATCGTTTATCTCATGAACACTTGCCCACTTCTTAACAACAAGTGCTAATGGACGAACTCGATTCTCAACTGCAAGTAAAATAAATACATCTCAAGAAAAGAGCACATTTAATTAGACAACAATCAATCAACATCAGTCCTGCTTGATCAACAGGATACTGTTGTATTCAAAGGTTAACTAAATCCTCCAAAATGGTCACAAAAGATATTCTACAATTACTATTCATCTTATTCAAAAAACAAATCAGTAAAAAACATTTGCATTGGAAAACAGCCTTTTGATTAGCAAGGTCCACAGACACGTTACAAGGGGCACGTCAAGGAGCTTGCAGATAAGACAAAATGGGATGCATCTGTCAATGTAGCAGTGCTACATTTTACTTTTAAGTTCTCTCCAGATCATTGCACTAACTTGTTGCCAAGACAGAACACATCTATTTTTTTATTATTGTTATTTAGGTTATATAAACTTTGAGGGCAGGCAAACAAGTTCTCCTGGTTGGAGGACACAGAGCTCATTATTAAGTTTTCCTCAGGATCCATAAAAGTAGTACCCCCTGCTTACAACAGTAATTTTAAATCTGCCTTGTCCTCAATTACTTTTTACGTATATAAGATGTCAGATACAATAACTCATTAAATCAAGACATAATTATAGTCACGTTACAGGTATGTTTATCTCAATTTCTGGGGAACACAGATAGCCTTCTAATTAATGTAGTAACCTGCTGTAGGGAGATGTCACTCACAACTACCTCCTAGGAACCTTACCATCTACATAATTTATTATTTGCAGATATTGAAGCAGATCATTAACTCAGTCAACTGCCTTATGACAGCCTTACAATGATATATATGTTCTGAAGTGTCTTTTCTAACCTTACATCATTGTACAAAGTTTTGTATTCCGCACATGAGGACAGGAATATATCAACAAATAAACGCTTCATCCAGGACAAGACATTCTACAACAGCATCAGTTGGGGTGCTCTCTGTAATTCTGAAAATTCTATCAAGCACGTGAGCTTCTGACAACCAGTTCACAGTGGTTCAGCACACATGCCCCTGTAAGTGGTAATCTCATTCCTAACATTATGCCTCATAAAAAAAAACCCAACATGAGTATTAATACACTAACTGTGAGATGCAGAATTACTGTACAGACATTATATGAACATGTATTAAATGAAACAGAATTTTTCCAACAGACTCCAATTCCAAATGAGACTTTTTGGGGGAGGGGGAGGGTGTCACAATAGAAAAGTTCTCTCTTTAGTTGACCTTGTTCTGAAATAAGATTTTCTTTCTGCTTGTTCCTGTAATTAGTATATAACAAAATTAGTTAGCAACATTGCCAGTAAACTTTTCCTGATACTCTTTCAGCATTAAAAAGCTACTCCCTCAAGAAAATGTTCAGTAATGACATTTGCTCAAAGTTAAAAGGTCCACCTTCCAGTAAGTGAAAAATACCTGTCATCAAACACCGATTTAAATGCAGACATGCCTCCTTGGGCAAACAACTGATAACACAACAACACAGACTTCAGTTTCTAGCTTTGCTTAATCTACCTACATTTCCTGTGGACATTCTGCTTCCCTTTCCCTTATCTCTGATGTTTTCCACAGCACCTATACAGCAACATAGAACTGCTGATTTCAAAAAAGCCAGAAGAGCATCCACGGAAATATTTATGAGGGTTGTTTTTTTGTTTTTGGTTGTGTTGTGTTTTTTTTTTTAAATCATATTCACTAACATAACTAGTCCCTTGTTTGCCTGAGCATCTAATTTGTTCTAATGGAACAAAGGGACCCATACATCTTCTAATCAGAGGTAATTTGATTTTTTTCCTTCCATGCAGGGTGAAGCCCTTAAGCCACAAATGTAAGTGAGCAGATCAATACTTGTAATTCTGTCCACCCTAGTTGATATGACTTAAACGTATAAAGAGACTGTCTGACAGAAGCTTCTATTTACTTGTTTGCCTTATGCCACCTGGGAGTTTTCCGCTCCAAATAAGAGAGGACAGGCTATGCTTGATACAGTTTGCCTATCTAGGAAGGTCTACCACATTGAGCAGATACTTTTCAAACACAGATCTCCTTTAGCTATAATTCACTCCATGACCCCAAGACAGTATCAGTATTTATCCTTCATGAGGAAACAAAGTTAATTTTACTAACCTTATAAAAAAGGGCACCAAGGCAGAACAGAAGGTGGGATATTAGGATCCCTTCCCTTCTACTGCTCTTCTATCTGGACTCTGCCCTCCAGTGATCTGCTGAATCGAGTAAGGGAAATCTGTGGCAGAAGCTAAGAACAACTGTATCAACATTAGACTTGAAGTGATCCCTCACCTGTAGCTGTGAATGACAAAGATTATTTCCCTAACCTTTACAAGCTTGGAAGGAAATTCTTCTCCAGGCATATGCCTATCTGGATGTATGAAGAAATAACAGTTAAACTGATACAAGACAAGTTGTAGACTCTTCAAGTAGCATGAATATAGAACACTGAAAACTACTCTGGCTGAAATGAGTAAAAAATAACTAGTAAAAGTAACTTCTACAGATAACAGAAAGGAATTCCTGTAGGTAAGAACTGAATAAAGTGGTACAGGAAGAACTGCAAATGGCCTGGAAGAACTGGACTGAAGTCCACTCCTTTTTCTCTCCACTCCATTTATCTGCCAAAAGACACGTAAGCCTAAGAAAGAAAACCTTAGTTTAGCACTAGGAGTGCTGTTCTTACTAATTCCCTTTCACAAGTCTGTTTCACAATCTTTCCCACTGAAGAGACACAAACTAGTTTTGGTTTGGGGTTCATATAAAAACTGAAGCAGTATGAAGCAACTGAATCACAGAAAGGTTCTGTAACTACATACACAACTAGCCAGCTATCAGCCACACACCCTATTGACAGCTGTATGGAAATAAAAGAAACTGGATATGATACCCCTATATAATCATTAGTGTAATGATCTAGCTATCTGCACAATACTGAAATAGCCCTTGCAGATGATATGTGGACCTTAATATGAATAATCTTTATCTTCTGACCTAGCTGATACATCAGTTTTCTCCATAGCTTTAAGATAAGTTCTTGTTGCTCAATAAATATATCTAATGAAGGTAATTACGTAACTTCATATATATATATCCATAAATAAAAATCTAATAAATTCAACTGAATTTGAATAGTCTATCAATAGTAAAATACAAACTCAAAAAGCTAAGTTTACAGAACTAAGAAAATACATTAAAAACTTACTCTGTGCATATGTTCTCAGAAGGAATGTATTTCTTATTCCTACAATATTGTTTACATTCAAATCAAACTCCACACAGCTATTGGGGATGAGGGAACAAAAAAGAAAAAAAGAAAAAAAAGAATCAATCATCACGATATTCAACTTCAGAATACTTATTATTTCCTTAGTAACACAGGTAGAAAAAACATAACTTTAAGATAATACTCTGGAAACCTTCAAATAGAGTTTTTGGTTATGTGATTTCTACTCTGGTCTTGATTTCAGTATTTGAATAGCTTATAGACTTGAATTCCATTGTCATAAAAATGTAACTGTTGTTTTACAGAGAGAATATATAGATCCAAATTTAGACCTTAGGATAAATTAATACAGCAATTTCTTTTTTTGATTCCTCACAAATCTTTTTCCCCAACTAGAGCTGCACTACATGATTTACTATGGACAACTTCTAACGTCAAGAAGGATTCTCTCAGGTATTAGTTCAGGAAATCACAGAATCACAGAACGGCCTAGGCTGGAAGGGACCTTAGAGATCGTTTAATCCAACCTCCCTGTCATGGGCAGGGACACCTCTCAACTAGATCAGGCTACACATGGGGACCGAACAGGGAATCATGTTAACGAACTGAGAAGAACTGGAAATCTTCTAAAGGTAAGAATCTCTTTCTGTAATGATGGTCAGAGATAATCAGCAAGGACTTCGAAATGAAAACTCTTTATTAGTAAACATTGCATGTTTTGTTATGAAGGTTTCAGCAATTGTTTCATGCTGTTAACTGCAAAGAACAACAAGGCAACCCAGCACCACCTGCTTTATTTGTACCACACCCTGCCCTGAAGACTGAGTTTTATACTGCTTTACTACTCACAGTACCCATAAAAACCATACTAAATTAAATGTCAATAACCTATAGCAACACTGTAACTCACAAGAGTCTGTTACTGACAAAGAAGTAGCTATCTGCAATGTTCACTACTTCCATCTCATGTATCTATGTCTCATTCACACAGCATTTGTTTGTCTAAATATTTGTTTAGATTTTCTTTAATTATTGGAAGGGGAACATGGGCCTGGAATTTATTAAATTGCATAGAACACATTAATCTGATGCCAAGAAAAAGTTTTTGACACCGTTAACTATGTTAAAGCATTCTTTGCACTAATATATTACATAATTTTAAGCCTGAATTAACACAAGCATAACTTTTATCTGTTTTAAGCATGGTACATAACAGTACAGGAAATAACAAGTGTGAGCTATGGCTTGTCAGTTGTAAAAATAAGTCTAAACAGCAGTAAGAATTAGTTGCATATGCAAATATAATAAATAAATATGTCATGCTACATATATAATTCCAATTAACCCCAACTGTCAAGGTTACTATTTAGCAGATGCTGATTAAGCAAGTTCCACTGCATTTATTTTGTACTTCAATATGTGCATTTAATAGATGTTGCAATTACAGCAAGTGAAAAAGGTTTTGTACTGTTGAGACTCAAGTCCTAAAAGAACAGAGCGGAAGAGAGTCAACTGCATAGCAAATGCAGCAAAAGAGGAACCTTTTGCACCCTCTGGTATAGAAATCTTGTTAAATAATCAAAGGCTTATCTGGTAGCAGAGCCAGCACCGGAATTATTTCCTGGGAAAGGCTACTAAAAAACAGTAAGTGTTTAAACGCAATGCATCATCCCTTACTGTTATAGTGCTAAAAAAAAAATCCTTTAAGATGGAAAAAGAACAAATACAAACTGAAGGCTTTCTTGTTCACCAAATCAAACTGTACTTTTCAAGTATATATGGACCATTGCCAACACATTAGAATCCAGAGGCAGAGATACCACCCACTGAATGCTGCCATCTTCTCCCAGCATCCAAGCATCAATAAAACAGGCTTTCACAGGAAGCCTGTCATCTTAAGCTTCTGGATCTGGCTAAAACAAGCTTAGGGCCCTAGGTACACAATATCCAACTCATTTGTTGAGACCTCTGAAAAAATAAAGGAGCATGTGTGTATATGTATGAGCCTACATGTGAGAGAGGCTGATAAGAGACTGGAAAGAGACAGAATCTCAGGAGAAGAAAAAAAAGACAAAACATGGGTGAAGATGACAGGTTATGGAAGAGAAAAATAATAGCAAAGAGAAAAAAAAACACAAAAAACCCAACCCAAAGTCACATCTCTCTCCACTGCTCCCCTCTTCCAGAAAAATACAGAACCCAGATGATAAACAGTACTGGTTTTTTTCCTCTGAAAAATGTAACAGCTAGCTTCTAGTTTAAGAAGATTATAAAGAGTTCTTTAAATCCTGTCTTAAGGTACACAAATATCAGACTGCTACTATATTTGCAAGTGACCTATTATTATGGACTATAAATGGCTGCAAAAGAGACTTTAAATGCCTACACAAAAGACTTCAATTTTCTGACACAATTCGTTCCATATTTAAGGTTTCTTTTTAATATTTATTTTCTGATTTTAAACTGGAAAAAAATATTCACACTGTAACGTGATGTTTTATTCAATACTTGTAGTAGGAATTTACCATTTGGTGTATCTACAAAAAGACTACGGTTCTTACATGTTGCTAAGTCATATAACCCAAATTTTGGCTTGAAAAGTTTAATACATTCAGAAAGCAAGGGAGAAACAACATTCTGTGCGTTTAGAGGGGAAAGATAGAAACAGATAAAAATACTCAAATTTTTAAAAGGTAGGCAAGTATACAGAATTAAATATGGGATTAGGTGTAAATGAAAAAAGTCTAAAGCAAAAATCCTAACAAGTGTTACATCTCAGATGCAAGAAAATCTTAAATGGATATTTATTAGTTCAAACTGTAAATATCATAGATTCAGTTTTTATCACAACGGAGTTTCTGCCCTAATAAAGGTGTATTGTGACAAAAGCATACTGTGATGTGCTTTCATAAAGAAAGGCCAAAGTGGGCTTACTTGTTTTTAAGCCAGAGACAAGGTTGCAAGAAGTATGTAGACAGCAAAAGATAGATACAAGGGAGTTGTCCAAAGCCCTATATAGTGAAACTATGTTATTACATGAAGGGGATACATAAAGCCTTACAAAATCCAAGCCCCAGAAAAAAGGAAGATGTGAACACTACCCGTACTCATACTGTGCTCTGCATTTTTTTCCTGTCACCTACTTTTATCACCCACCATAAAAAACATATTGTTCTCTGTCATAGTACATCCCTCTTGATTATTCATTTTCATGTCTTCATAGTGAAGATACAATTAATGAAATAACATAGAATACTTCCAGTCAGTATGGGTTTCAGCCAGCATGGGTTTAGGAAAGGGAGGTGTTGCTTGACCAAGCTGATTTCCTTCTATGACAAGGTGACTCACTTAGTGGATATAGGAAAGGCTCTGACTGTTATCTACCTGGACCTCTGTAAAGCCTTTGACACCTTTTCCCCACAGCATTCTCCTGCAGAAAGTGCCTGCTCGCGACCTGGAGGGGCATACCCTTCACTGGGTGAAAACCCATCTGGAGGGCCAAGCCCAAAAAGCAGTGGTGAATGGAGTTAAATGCAGTGGGCAGCCAGACACAAGCTGTGTTCCCCAGGCTCGGGTTTGGGGTCAGTTCTGTTTAATGTCTTTATCAGCCATCTGGATGATGGGATTGAGTGCCTCCTCATTAAGTGTGTGGATGGTACAAGGCCAGGCAGGAGCGCTGATCTGCTGGAGGGTGGACACACTCTACAGAGGGTTCCAGACAGGCTGGATCCGTGGGGCAAGGGCAACTGTATGAGATGCAACAAGGCCAAGTGCCGAGTCCTGCTCTTGGCTCACAACAACCCCAAGCAGCGCTACAGGCTTGGGGAGGAGCAGCTGGAGAGCTGCCCCATGGAAAAGGACTGGGAGTTGCTGGTGGACAGCTGGCTGAAGAGTGTGCCAACGGCATCCTGCCCTGTATTGGGAATAGTGTGGCCAGCAGGAGCAGGGAAGTGATTGTCCCCCTTTACTGAGCAGTGATGAGGCTGCACCTTGAATCCTGTGTTTGGTTTTGGGGCCCTCACACCAAGAAAGTCATTGAGGTACTGAAGGGTAATGAAGCTAGTGAAAGGTCTTGAGCACGTCTTGTAAGGAACAGCTGAGGTAACTGGAGTTATTTTGCCTGAAGAAAAGGAGGCTGAGGAGAGGCCTTATCACCTTCTACAACTGCATGAAAGCATGTTGTAGAGAGGTGGGTGCTGGTCTCTTCTCCTGAGTAAGAATTATAGGATGAGAGATACAGCCTCAAGTTGTGCCGGGGAGGTTTAGACTGGGTATTAGGAAAAATTTCTTCACCAAAGGGTTGTCAAGCACTGGAACAGCCTGCCCAGGGAGGCAGTAGAGTCACCATACATGGAGATGTGGTGCTTAGGGACATGGTTCAGTGGTGGACCTTGCAGTGTTAGGTTAATGGTTGGACTCACTGATCTTAAAGGTCTTTTCCAATCCAAACAATAAATGTCTTACAAAAATAGGACATAAAATTAGTAACTAAAACTGTGAATAGAACATGGAATAATGCTTTGTTAAATATCAGAATACCTTCCTAAAAGACAGAAGAATACACTCTTCTAAAATTAAGAAAAATTTTTTAATCAAGAAAATGTCATCACAAGGAACTAAAGTTCTAGTGTTGTTTCTGTAGTGTAAATGCTGTGAATTGGTCCTTAATTAGCTCAGTTATATATGCAATACAAGCAAAGTTATCTTTTGCAGCAGTTTTCCTCCCACCTTTGTTCTTCTGTCATGAACTATTCGCCAACTGGAGTCCAATAAATCCAAATATCCCAGAGAAATACGTAAGGTACTGCTATTAAATTCATCACAGAAACCAAACAGCATCTCAACCACAAAAGGTGTTTCAGGCCATCAGGGAAGTAAGCCGACTACCACTGCATGCTAACTCTACAAATCTGCAATACAACTATAGTACCACACAAATAAAGCAAGATTTCAGTGTGACTAATCATGCTGACAATACATAATATTTTCCCATGTCAGAGTCTAAAAAAAAAAATCATGTTACACAAAATACTTGCCTGACTTTATCCCTGAACTTCACTATGGGCACTTTTGCTCGAATCAGCTGAGGTCGCTCAATGTAGCTTGCTGAAAGGGAGAAAAATATGTAGTTAAGTTTCATGTAAGATGCTCATCTTATAAATCACCTTTAGCACACGCAGCAAAAATAGCAAGGATTGTGGAAAAAAGTGCAATAAACATTAGTGGAAACTTTTTCTGTGGGAAGAATATTCAAGAAGTCTGAACATAAATAATGCAGATCTACAATACTCTCACTGAACAGTACTTGTAATCAAAATCCTGAACAGCTATAACAGTTACAATTAAGGAGGAAGGGAGCAAACACATATCCATCCAGGACTGTCAGATACAAAAGTCTAGTACTACAATGTAGCAATGAGCACATGATTAGCTGCATACTTTTGCATCACGTCTAGTTTGCTTACAGTTGAAACAACGTAATTTACTGATCAAAAAGCACTAATGTAACTGCATCTTCACCATATACTGATTATGCCTGAAACTTTCTATACAAATTGACTGATAAAATGCACACCAAGAAATACATTTCCTGTCAAATTGTTACCGGAAAGAGGACAACACTTTCCATTAAAGATGGGACAATGCTTATTTGCCTTTTGCTTTAGCGGTAATAGGACATGCATTGAATATACAGTCACAGGACTGCACCTCAGATGATTATCCACACAGCACAGACACACAGGCTCAGGGCCAGACCACTCAAACCAAATCATACCAAGTTCTTCCAGACTCATACAGTGCCAACAAAAGCACCTTTGCACTTGCTCCCCAAAACTGCCGCAATTTCCCACTCTGGACAGTATCTCAGGGTGTATTTTGTAGTTGCACATAATTGCAAATGAGAAATGCAACCAATAAAGCAATGGAAAAGACAAAGAAGAGTAGACCTCATAGGTTGTATTATATGAATTTAGGCAAAAGGCACAATTTTATTGATTTCTTCTGTTCCAGAATCTAGGACAACCCGAACTTGCCAATATCTAATATGATACATTTTCTTCTTGTGTCTATAAATTAACATCAAATTAGCACAAGTAAGTATGACAAGGGTAGAAGTAATACAAACTAAAAATAACTTGAAATGTTGATCTCTACTTTTTTAGGGGGGGGCAGGAATATGATAATTTATAGACACAAGAAGAAAATGTAACATCAAATTAGCACAAGTAAGTATGACAAGGGTAGAAGTAATACAAACTAAAAATAACTTGAAATGTTGATCTCTACTTTTTTAGGGGGGGGCAGGGGCAAATAAAATGGTATTTCTATTAGTTTGGATAGCAATCTTATTGAACAGTATCATCCCCATTACATTTGGATGATAAGGAACTCTGTCCTCCCCTCACCAAAACCACCTCACAAGCTATTTTGAAACTATGAATGGCAGTAGCTACATTTGCCTAAATAAGTTTAATCAACTCCCTTGTTTCAGAAGCATTGAACCTTAGCATAGTTGAGCTAGTCTGCAAACTAACTCAGTCCAAATGGAAAGACTCATATGGCAATGAATCAGGTGAACATTTTCAAAAAACTTTTGTCTATCAATTCTATCCACAGAATATCCATACAGAGACACAAGGACAGATGGCTAGATATAGGAAATCATGCCCACAGAAATGTTAAGATTATGAACAGATGATCCCCAAGACGTCTACATACCACAACTAAGAGAGTCTGACAGGAGCGGTAAATCAGCAGTGTTCCGTCCTGCCTTACCTTCCAAAGAAGGTTTTGATTAAATGAAACTGACCAAAGGCACTTGCAAGACAACAGAGAATTAGGAAAGCATCAAAAATGAGCAATGGCACAAAAAAAACCCAAAACCAAACCCCACGACGTTCAGGGTATGCTCCCGCATGTCCATCATGTCTTTCTGCTACTTGTATTCTGTGACAAACAAACTTGATTTTGTCCAAAGCTGTCACATAACACAATCTCTTGACAAGAGAATGTGGTGATATTTAGATGCTCCCTTTCTGACTCCTGAAAACACAACTATTTCATCAGTGTGCTTCTCAGAGAGCACTGGGATGACCTGCATCCTAGGCAAACCCAGCCTAAGTTCTAGATTACTTATGCAAATATCAATATACAACAGCAGTAAGCCATTAAATATCAGATGCCTGCCCTGCAACACATCTACCATATCTCTTCAAGTGAGCTCTTGAAATCTGGGTATGCATACTTGCCAACGAAGAAATTTTGAAGTCAGCATTTACATCTATGGTTTACTCCTTTTATCACTGCAGGATTGTTCAAAACTGCCATACAAGGAGTAGCATCAAAGAATATATCAGAAGTCTGAGAAGCAGAGGAACACAGTTGTTGATATGAAGACAGGGCCTTATATAATTTAAAGGATGGTACAAAAGCCTCTTTCAGGCAGGAGGCTTTCACATTTAAGCCAAGAACTGCCCATGCGAATTCCTCATCTGAAGGGAGTTCAAACATCAGTTTAGAAGAACTGTGAATTGGCTCATTTCTCCTATATGTACTAATACTGTCACGACTTAGCATGTTCTTCACTAGGCACCTAAGTTAAATTATTGCACTCTTATCAAGCCCCACCTCTTCCCCCCAACCAATTCTACACAGTCTATTGTGAGCGACAACTTATTTTACAAATTCTTAAGAATACTGTCATTAGTAAGGCACTGCAGTCTAAAAGAGAATGGAATAGAAAGAACAGAATAGAAAGAGTTCATTAACAGAAGTTTCCCAAACAAAAATCTCCTTCCTCCCCATCTTGTGGTCCAATATTTCAAAGTCATTTTAGATGCCATCCACTCTTGAAGTCCATTTGCTTGCAAGGCAATCATTATGTTTTCTATTACCCATGAGCATCAAGTATAGCTTTTCTCCAAGCAATACCATGATCAGAAGCTAGACAAGATGCAATTACACCAGTTTAAACTGTGCATCAATACTTCTTCCAGAATTACCAGTAATCTTACCACCTCACTGTAGCCAGGAACTTACAAAGTTTAGTACTGAAGAGTGTCTGAACTAAGCTGAGTATATGCCTTGCTTCGGTCTTCTGATTTACCTAAAATATGATATTAAAATAAATAAAAAAGTTGGTATCTCATTTAGAAGTTCCAAAAAAGCATGGTCTAGTTCTCAAATAAAGCTAATTCTTAGAATAAGGCATGAACATGTATAGCAACACATTCCACAGCCTGAATATACATTTAGTGCAGCAAAACTCAAGACAGAACTCATAATTAATATGCAAAGTATCAGAGATCGTAAGACATAAACCATAGAACTTGATGAAAACCTAGCACCACTTAGAGAAAATGTTCTTTCATTCTTTTCCAATGATGTCTCAATTCTTTCAGACTTATGTTCTAGTTAATTTTTCTTTTTCGTTACATCTTTTGTCTCAACCTAAATTCTACTCATCAATAAATTCTCTCTCCAAATATACTCAAGATAGTTTGCATATCAGATTCATTCTCATACCTGCTCACTAACACTAGTGGCTCTAAATCTAAGTAATGAAATAAAAAAATGTACTTATTAGAAGTTGTTTCTGCATCTAAAATGAGTTGGAATTCTCTAAAGAATTTTCTTCATGATTCTAGGCAATTTACTTCTCTGTTTTTCTGTGCTTTTTTCACTTATGGAGTGAAGTTAATACTATTTTTTAACGCTTTATTAGGTTAAAGTGTTTATAAGGTTAAATTAATATTTGCAACACTATTGGGCCTACAGTTTATAGCTATTATGAGTGCAAAAAGGTGTTATTAAATGAAAAGGATTTGACCGTTTATTTCATTTTAGAATCCAGCCTTATAAAATGCAAGTATGTTTTTAAAAGAGACTTTATTTTATTTAGCTATATACGTTTTAAATTACTTACTGGTTCTTCTTTAACCACCAGGCACAAGTCAGCATCACTGGTACGAGTACCAAACCCATTCAGTGAGGACCCAACCAAAAAGAGCCTGCTTTCTGTAACAGAATAAACACAGAACAAAAACTATGTGACATATCATAATCTAAGAGGAAATCAGAACTGCAAAACTGACAAACATTCAAACTGATATTAAGTAATATAATTCAAAACATACGTGGAAAAATTTGCTGAATTTCTCTCTGGAGTTCTGTTCTGCAGAGCTCTTTTCTGTTCAAATCACAGATCTGTTGCTGACATGCGTGAAAAATCTCCAAAACCTGCTGACTTAACTTGACACAAACATTCAAAAAATAAAGATACAGAGAAGTGAACTTCTTTCCTGCCAGGGATGCCATTACATGGAACACAGAAGATTGCACTAAAAAAACAAATAAATCCAGCATCATTTCAAACAACCTATTGCATTGCCTAGATTTTTATTGAATTTATATTGAACAACTCCCTGGAAGAAATTTATGCAAAGTTTTTCAACATGTATTTGTTCAATCTGTTATATATTCACAGAAAATAATTTTTGTTTCACCAGCATCTGCAGCTTTTCAGGGAATAAAAAGTGAAAGACCAGATGTATCAGACACTGACTTTAACATCACGAGCTTGCCTATCAGGAATACAAAGGAAAAGAATATTTAGACTGATTCAGCTTTCTTTTGTTATCCCACACAAACTACTAAAGAAGTAGTCAGATCTTTGGTGGAAGGTGTTTCTCTTTCAAAACATTTACATGCTATAACTAAGACCCATATTTATACCAAAAAAAACCGTTCTGTTACATTGGTGCAAATAATGTAGGAAGGTTGATTAGCCATGTTTTCTTGGGTTCTAATCAAGAAAAAGAACAAAATACATAATTCCAAATCCACTGTCCACCTAAAGAAGACATCATCTTCTCTATTCCAGAACAGCTAGGATAGCAAGTTTTATCATCTTCTGAGGAGTGGCAGAGGACATCTTTATGGGCTTCTCTCACACTACTAGTGTGGTGGTTTTTTCATCAGGATTCTCCCTGCCCCTAATCATATGAGCAGACATGTGATTTTCCTGACACTAGTAACCAAGCAACACAAGCAAACAACAACCCTACCCCCAAAAAATACTCCAAACACACACAAGGAAGCTACATACCATCTTAATGGCAGCTACATTTACTGAAACTTCTTCTGATAACAGAGACGCCATGACACTGTCGAAGAACCTTGCAAAAATATTTGTGGTCTCCCACTGCACACTGAACCCTGCCTACACAAAAGGCAGATGTAAAGCACAGGCACACAAAGATACTACCTTATCTTTGGCCACAGGGAGCGTGGTTTCTATACGGTCTTGCAGTGGAAGGACATATCCAGTAAAACCTGGTAGGTAATGTGCACGGAGCAGTGGTGATTGGATTGATCCTGGGAATGAATATCTATGTTCTTCTGCTAAAGGCACTGCTTGGTTAACTACAGGTGTTTCAGAACAATGTGAATGAAATCGCGGCCTTTTGACATCATGTGGACTAGTCTGTTCACATGGTCTCCTACAAAAAAAAAAAAAAAAAAAACAATCTAGCTTGCAATCTCTAACCTATGAGTAAAAGACAGTTGCAACGAAGTACAAACAACAATGCTTAATTATGTAACTATTTCACTAAAAGCAAATATTCTACAAAATAAAAGGCATGTCATTCCTAGATATTAATCCCAGAAATAAACCTGGAACGGGAAAAGAGAACACACAACTGCAAAACTGCAGCTACTCTTGAAGTGATTTGATGCCACCACATTATAACAGTGTCTGTATTAAACAGTAGAAATCTAAATGGCAAGTTCAGTTAAAGAGGACAGCTCGAAAAGCTGGCCATACTACTCTGGAAATAACGCGGCTTTTTGCTTTTTTAAAAAAAAATAAATACATAAAGTCTATGTAAGTGTAATTTCTTTTAAATCAGCATAAATGCAGTGAAAAGGTTTGGGAGTTCTGAATACCCCGAGATGAATAAAATAAATTCATTAGTGGAAAGGGGAGAAAAAAACTTATCACAATAGCTGTCCAAAACGTAGCATCTGTCTGTATCTTAGATTGTACAGACAATACCTCTGTAATCTGGGCAAAAAAGAAACATTATCCATCTGACAAATCAAACTAACGACTGTATTAAGCAACATTTGTCTCATTTTCAAACACTAGTCCACTACTCTATATTTCCTCAAGTCAATTGTCACAGGAATTAAAATATATTTGGAAGAGACTTGGTGATCTTACAAACAGTCTCTTGGTATCTGAACTCTTCATTAATGAAAGGTTGTACTGAAAGTTGACCACTGTTTGATACTGTGGTCCATCCACAGCAAAGAATGGAAGAGTACATTCATGTTTTGTCTATACATCAAGTATGGCATAACTCCACCAGTATGGGGGCACTCACACTTTTTTTTTAATTAAAAAGCACAAAATCAAAATGTTTATATATATATCAATGAAGTAACTACAACTAATAATTAATAAAATTAATAAAAATACAGTCGCTTCTTTTAGTTAAAAAAATTGGCATCAAAGTACTCTGGGGACCTGGACAAATAATATTATTAATAATAAAAATATAAATGACGAGAGCTGGAGGTGTTGCCACCATTAAGTCAGCCTGTGTCCTGCATCAAATCTTCTCCCATAAAGAAAAAGAGATGGGCTGCTATCATAGGAGACTCTCCTCTGGGGGGAACAGAATGTCCAACATGAAGACCAACCTGCTTCTTAAGGAAGTCTGCTGCCTCCCTGGGGTCTGGGTTAAAGATGTGAAAACAAAGTTTCCTACCCTGGTATAGCCTTCAGATTACTATCCATTACCAATTTTTCAGGTAGGCACAGATGATGTTGCAACAAGAAGTCCAAGGGCAATCGAAGGAGACTTCAGAAACATAGGGCAATGGGTTAAGAAAGAGAAGCACCAGTAGCATTCTCCTCTATCCTTTCAGTTACAGGGAATGATGAGGGAAGAAACAGAAAGGGCCAGCAGATCAATACCTTGCTCTAAAACTGGTGGCACCAGCAGGATTTTGAGTTTTCTGATCATGGGTCAGTTTACATGACACCACGGCTGCTGGCAACAGAGAGTACTCCTGTCACAAAGCAAGAAGGATCTTCGCACCGAGTTAGCAGGGCTCATTGAAAGAGCTTTAAATGATATCTGAAGGGAAAAGGGGATAAAATGAGGCTTGCTATAGTCAAACCTTGGGACAGTACGTCAGCATTTCAGAGTCAGCTCACTAGCAAGGTCCTTCACACTGCCATCTCGGTGGAGGCAAAAGATGGGAGATCTATGTAGCAGCAAAGATGCAAGGCTTATTGATGCACGAGAAGCCACACAAGCGCATGAGAATGGTCCTGTAGGAACTAAGGCTATCAGAACTATGACTTAGTTGCCATTACAAAAACATGGTGGGATGACTCACACAACTAGAGTGCTGCACTGGGAGGCTCCAAACTCTTCAGAAGGGATAGGCAAGGAAGGAGAGCCAGTGGGGAAGCCCTATATGTTAGGGAGCGTTTGGATTGTCCAGAGATTCATCATGACGGTAACGGGAATTGAGTGTTTATGGGCAAGAGTCAGTGAGAAGGCCAAAAACGCAGATATCGTGGTAGGAGTCTGCTAAAGACCAACCAACCAGGACAAAAAGGCAAATTAAATATTCTGCAAGCAGCTGAGAGAAGTCGCACAATTGTTAGTCTCTGTTCCCATGCAGGATCTTAACTCACCAGATGCCTGCTGGAAATACAGCAGAGCAGAGAAAGAACAGTCCAGAAGGTTCCTGGAGCATGTGGAAGATACAGCCTGACATAGCGGGTAAGATAAACAACTAAGGAAGATGCCGGCTGAACCTGCTGTTCAGAGAAGACCTTGTGGCTGATGTGATGACTGGAAGCCCTCTGGAGCACAGAGAGCACAAAATGACCGAGTTAGTGCTGCTCCACTTAGTCACACGTATCTCTGGGGCCAGATGGGATCCAACCAAGAGTACTGAGGGTGCTGGCAGAAGTGGTCTCCAAGCCACTTTCCATCATTTACCAGCAGTCCTGGCCGACTGGGGAGGTCCCAGTGGACTGGAGGCTTGCAAACATGATGCCCACTTACAAGCAGGGACAGAAGCAGGATCCAGGCAACTATAGACCTGTCAGTGTCCCCTTGGTGCTGGGAAAGGTCTTGAGTGCGATCATGCAGCATATACAATACAACCAGGTGATCAGGCCCAGTCAGCATGGGTTTAGGAAAGGGAGGTGTTGCTTGAGAAACTTCATCTCCTATGACAAGGTGAGCTGCTGTGGATGTTGTCTACCTGGACCTCTGTAAAGCCTCTGACACCTTTTCCCCACAGCATTCTCCTGCAGAAAGTGCCTGCTCGCGACCTGGAGGGGCATACCCTTCACTGGGTGAAAACCCATCTGGAGGGCCAAGCCCAAAAAGCAGTGGTGAATGGAGTTAAATGCAGTGGGCAGCCAGACACAAGCTGTGTTCCCCAGGCTCGGGTTTGGGGTCAGTTCTGTTTAATGTCTTTATCAGCCATCTGGATGATGGGATTGAGTGCCTCCTCATTAAGTGTGTGGATGGTACAAGGCCAGGCAGGAGCGCTGATCTGCTGGAGGGTGGACACACTCTACAGAGGGTTCCAGACAGGCTGGATCCGTGGGGCAAGGGCAACTGTATGAGATGCAACAAGGCCAAGTGCCGAGTCCTGCTCTTGGCTCACAACAACCCCAGATGAGAGGAAACAGCTTCAAGTTGTGCCATGGGAGGTTCATATTGGATGTTTCAAAAATTTCTTCACAGAAAGAGTTGTCAGCAAGCCACCATCCCTGGAGGTATTAAAAAGACATGTAGATGTGGTACTCAAGGATATGGTTTAGTGGTGGACTTGGCACTACTAAAGGCTTAAGAGTTGAAAGAGAAATAGCATACAGGAAATAGTTCTGAAGACAGATTACATAAAACTTCCTTCCTATCAGCTGATTCACTGAACTATTACAAGCACATAACTACTAATAAGTAGAACTGATAAGTGATCTTCTTCTACAGTTTCCCACAGCATTCTCCTAGAAAATCTGGCTGCCCATAGCCTGGGTGGGCATATTCTTGCCTGGATTAGGAACTGGTTAGATGGCTGGGTAAAAAGAGTTGTGGTTAATGGAGTTAAATCCAGCCGGCGACCGGTCACGAGTGGTGTCCCCCGGGGCTCAGTACTGGGGCTACTCCTGTTTAACATCTTTACCAATGACCTGGATGAGGGGATGGAGTGCACCCTCAGTAAGTTTGCAGATGACACAAAAATGGGAGGAGGTGTCTATCTGCTTGAGGGTAGAGAGGCTCTTCAGAGGGATCTGGACAGGCTGAATCGCTGGGCCAAGGCCAATCACATGAATTTCAA